TTTGCTACCCTCCTGCACATTTTGTCTTATCACCATCGTAGTCGTTTCAGGCCATTCGGTCCCCTCGTCCCCAATATATTACGCACGATTGCAAATGAGATCATCGGGAAGCCTCCTGTGGTCAACTTAATCAACGAATACCTATTTGTTGCATACGTCGTAGCTCTCGATGTATATAATAAAATAATGGTTTAGGTCGGCGTACACCTTGCCGTCATATCGCCCTCTAAGAGAGTAGGACGCGAGAATACATACACGTCATATTCACACGAATACTCAATTCTAGTAAGACCATCCTAGGAAAAATACTCGCGCGTAGATTTGAAGTAGTAAGTGCTGCATTTATTGCTTAATTGTTTGACTTTAGCGCCGTTGAGCTCAGTCACGGGTGTCACCATGGTCGCTTCCGTTCTGCAGGATCCAAGAAACATCCGAAGCGACGAAAAGAAACAAGATGAACGCGCAACCTTCCCCTAATTTTCCTAGCACCTGCTTGAAGATAACCAGAATTCAGGGGGTACAGGATTTCACGCAAACTTCGATGCACTGTAGATGCTTGACCTTTACAGCAAGTTTCAGCCCAATCAAAGTTTCACTAGTTGTTTTGCTTTGCAGGTCTCGACTAGTTTGTGATTTAAACCGTGCCCCAAAATGTTCATTCCAATACATGGACCAATACTATAATATGATGTAATTATAAAATACAGATTCCAAAAGCACCACCCACAGCCTCAAACCCCTGTCCGACCATCACATCTGTCAACTTGAGATGGCAATAAAATATGCCTCATGCTGCAGCATGCAAGGAGCGTTTCAGTTGAGACTACATGGGTTCAACATTCAGAAATTTGCTGGGTCGGACGGCGTGAAACATCTGTCATTCGTTCATTGGCCCCAGTGACCTGGGGCGCAGCTAGCTAGATCATACTTATACCTGCTTCAGCGCAAGTGAAACTTTTTTCTCGCACAAGCAAGAAGTGGGAGCAAGTCCCACCAAAGTCCTGAGGAATGAACAACCCGCAATTGCTGGGAAAGTGTTGACCGACAAACCAAATCCCGATGAAACTTATCGGGGCATTTTGTCTTGATTTCAGAGATGGCATGAATCCAACTATCAAAGGTAAAACAATTCCAGCAAGTTGTGCCATTGATTCGTACATCATTGTATCTCATTGGTGTTTTGGACGTCTTTAAGTTCTTCAGCAAAACTATACAATACTATATAATTGGTATCCAGCCAAGACTTTCTCTCGACAGTCAAGGTTCATCAAAGTTGAATGATTTGGGGGGTGTTACTTGTGTGTGTGAAACCCTTGGAGTCACAGGGAACCTTTTGGCTTTTTGTATTTGAGGGGGCCATCCCTCTCACCCCATTGGTGGATGGCCAAAGAAAAGGTCAATGGTGGGAGTTGTAAATGTACCTGCAATTTTATGTGTCTTTTCTGATTCTAATCGTAATCTAATTGTAACAGCGATTCACTTGTGAAGAGCTCCGTGAATTTTGGATTTGACATGCCGACTTTCAAACTCTTGCTTTAAGACACGCCTGCAGATTGAACTAACAGTTGAGCGTCAACCGGAGAGACGCTTACCATGGCTGATTTCCTGAAACCTGGTTTACTCAGGCCTCCGTTTTAAACCAAGGTTTCTTCTCAGCTCTGGCGGCTTCAGTACGTACGCATTATCCCGAGTGTGTGAAACATGTGAAGGAAACGGTCCGTCTTATGCCGGCAAATCTGTCGCTTCTTACATGTACCTTTTTGAGGGGTGTGATTCGAGGGTATGAATCGCCCAAGTCGAACTTCCAACCACTACATCAGGAAGTACACACCAAAAAAATACAAATTCGGGCTTATATGGCTCTTCCAATATCAGGACTTTGCATCGATACTGTTTCAAACATCGGCAGTTTTCTTGACCGTTTTGACGGTCGAAAGTGGTCATGAAACATGTCACCAAAGATGTCTGGACAGCACATACACGCCATCCCCCCACGGGCATCGCCAGTTGGCGAAGCCTGTCAGTAAGAGATTGGTTTTGGCCCATGTCCAACTGAAGAATTTGACAATGACGGACCCTCGATTTTCCAAACAATGCGGTGGCCAGCTACTTCGGAAAGCGCAAAAAACACAAAGCTAAAGCGCCAAACAAGGTCTCAAAGGCAACACCGACAACAAACATTTCAATCAATCCCACGTCTATACATAGTTTCATGAGAAGTCATATATATATAATATATATGCAAAGCAAAACAAATCCTCCCGGTTGCGTCACTTCCCCCTCCAGCAGAATCCAAACCAGTGTTCTGCACCCCCTGGAATGTCCACGCATGCACACACACACAGACACTCGCCGGGAAGTACGGACCGAGCTTCAAGCCTCAGAGCTAGGAGCTCCAGCGCGCATGGCGATATCTTCCAAATGGGGTCGCTCACATTGTGCACCTGGTCGCCGGTGAAGTTGCTAAACATTTGGATCGTTTGAATTTGGATGATCATGAACAAATGGAACAGGGCTTGTGCAAACAATGATGTTGCTGTTAACAAGTAATGTGAGGCCTCTCTATATTAATACGGGATGGCTTGTTCATCAGTGGAGGCATTCAAAGCCCCAACGGCCTGGTTTGGTATTGTTCTGTGTTCCCCCACTCAAACAACAAAAAGCACTTCAAAGAATCCTTCTTTTTGCTGTCTCCAGGGGTGTGGTCCTGTTCCAACCCTCTGGTCACACTTGGGATCATACCACTGCAAGGTTAAAAACCGTTTCTGCGAATCACCACACGGTTTCTGCGAATCCGACACCTATGGACAATCACACGCTAATCCGCCCCCGAAAGTTTGCATTTGGATTCTGGCTCACACGCACACCTTAATCAGACACTGGCTATTGTATTGGGAAACCATTGTCAGAGTGACGGTGACCCCCCGGCGTTTGTAACAAAACACGAACCAATGAAACCCGATTGAAGCCAAATGACGTGAGGATGGATGGCCATCTCCAATAAAACCAAGAGCAGTCGGTTAGCGCACAAAGACTGCACTGCTGTTCTGAACCAAAGTGTGCAACGGCGCAGAAAAAATAGAGAGAGAGAGAGGGAGAGCGGTTAGTCATCGGGGGTGGGTTTGTGAAAGCTGTGATTTTGCAAGGATTTGCTTTATTTGCAGCTGACATGACATTGATGGGAATTGTAAAGGCATTAACTTAGAATTGAAGTAGAATTAGCTTAGAAACAAATTAGAATTAGGTTAAACGTGAATTCAACATAACTTATCTAAATTAGTGCTGGCTGGAACTCACTTCCGAGACAGTGCTTTGAGAAACCATGGCAATCAACCACTCTTCTTGTTCGCAAGTGTGCTACAAGTAGTGGAGAAGCAGCTGGCTTTATTACAATAAACTAGATAATAACGAAGGAAGGCCGTATGTATATGAGAAGAAAACCATCAGTGAATCAGTGAGAGCACTAACGGGTAGCAGCATTTGGTCCGGTGGTGCTAATTTCTGTGCTGCCTGCGGTGGTCACATGTGTACTGTGTACAAAGGCTGTGTTTTAAACTCGACAAGGTTGGCCGAAAAAAAGGAATCGACAAGAAAAAACCGCACGCTCGACAAAAAACACACGCAAGGACTCGACAAAAAGTGCTACTCACAAGCCCGACAAGGACAGGCGAACATGAAAACCACCATAGGAACTCTCTCTCTCTCTCTCACTCTCTCTCCCGATCGCCCTGTACAAGGTCCAAGAGTTTAATATAGTTTAATGTCTATGTCTCTATCTATCTTGCCACTGTCTAGCTGCATCCAATGACAAATCTAATGTCATCGATCAATTTCTCTCTCTGCATTTAGTTGCAAGTGTTTGAACTAAGCATCAGGAGCACAACTCACAAGCAGAAGGCAAACACCCATCAAAAAACCGTTAAAGAACCGTCAAAAATCCCTCCAGCGGAAGGCTAAAGAGGAGCGCAACTTACAAGCAGAAGGCAAACACCATCAAAAACCCAACAAAAAACCGTTCAAAAATCCGTCGACCGGAAGGCTAAAGAGGAGCACAACTCACAAGCATATGGTTTCTCTGCTCTGTTTCTGCCACACCCACATCACTACTTTTCAGTTAAATTGCCACGCACGTTGAGACGTTTGGGAAAAGACTAATCTCATATTGTTCTTCTGCTCTGCTTCTGCAACTGCCACATCACTAGTCTTGCAGCCAGAGAGGCCACGGCGCTTTGATACGGCGACAATCGGCTTGGAACGGTTGACTGCACGGATCCCAGAAGGCAAAAACTCAAAGAACCATCAACAACCGTTCAAACGGAAGGGTCGAGAGGAGCACACAAGTTCTGGTTGTCGGACTTCACCCCGCTGTTTTTGTCGGACCTGAAATGTAATTTCTGTCGTGTATATGGATAATCTTGTCGACCGTCGACCACCATGGAAATCTTGTCAAAGAATACATGGTATGCGCTACAATTTGTGCTCAAAAGTGGTCCTGGTGGTGGTGTCGTTCTGGTGGGATGTTAGCACACATCCGGAAGATGGATGCCGAGGATTTCACAGCCAGATCTTATGGTTTGCCGCTTGCACAATGTAAGGCTAGCAGAACCCCAAATCGCATTCTTTGTGTCGATATTTAGCACAGCATCGAATGGTCCACTGCAGGGTTTGTGCCTCATCATCCAATGGGCACCATGTGTCAGATGTTTTGCTACCCTCCAGCACATTTGTTGTCTTGTCACCATCGTGGCCATTACAGGCCATTCGGTCTCCTCGTCCCCAATATCTTGCGCACGATGTTGCAGGTGAGATCATCGGGAAGCCTTGTGTGGTCAACTTAGTCAACGAACACTCAGTCAACGAAGCCTTCTGTGGCTCTCTATGCAATAATGGTTTAGGGCCGCGTACTCCTTGCCGTCAAATCGCCCTCCGAGAGAGTAGGACACGAGAATACATACACATCATATTCAATCATATTCACACGAATACTCAAATACTCAGTTCTGGTAAGACCATCCTGGGACACATTCTCGCCCGTAGTGAAAGGGCATTACTACTAGTAACAAGATATTAGATTTGGACTCTCGCGACGCTGAGCTCAGTCATATCTTCGGGCAAAAAGCACATCAATTACAGCACCGTCAGTGAGGCCAAATACGAAGGCTTCTTGGAATTTGCAAAGCATGCATTCACCAGATTATGAAATTGACCGCCAGGGTGGAAATCCACTTCACTTTTCAGCCAAGGTTGGGTTCAAATGGCTGAATTCAGAATCATGATCTAATCGTTGATGCAAATTGATGGGATGCTATCATGGTGGTCATGGAGATGCATCAATTGTGCAGAAAGCTTCAAGCAAACGGCCGCCCTTCCTGCAGGAATGCAATCAAAAGGCACGGCCCAAAGGCCCACCTATGTGATATAATGGCATAGTAAGCAATGTTCATTCTTGACCTAAGCAACAACATGAAAAATCTATCGTTCTCTAGTTTCTGAGCAAGCTGCTGATGAGAGACGGTGATCTCCTTTCACCCTCTCTTTCTCCCTCTCTGAACGCACTTTCCTCTCCCACTTCAGGTGTTGTGTGCAGAAAGAAACTACAGCTCTTTCTATCCTTTTCGCATGAAATGGGCGATCTTTCGGTTGAACAAGCCCTCTTAGAGGCACTATGAGGCACTACACCACATTGCTAGTCAACATGGTTCTAAGCAGTATCATCAGTGTCCAAAGGATCTTCTCTGGACACACCACATGTGAAGCCAAGAAATCTACTCAGGATTGGAAAGCAAAAAACAAATCACACACCTCCAGCCGAACACATTGTGTAGCAAGAAGCTACTAGTAGCTAAGTTGCTAGGCTAGAAGCTTCCGAGAATCGTTTCACCTGTAGTAACAAGAAGCTACTAGCGATGGCCTCCAACCTAATTGCGATGGCCTCCCCCTAGTAGCGTCCTTGCTACTAGTAGCGTCCTTGCTCCTAGTATTACGGCCAGGAGCCCCTAGTAGCTTCTTGCTCCTAGTAGCGATGCCAGGAGCCCCTAGTAGCGTCCTTGCTCCTAGTAGCAATGCCCTTTGCGCCTAGTAGCGGAAAGAGTTCCCCATAAAGTTGAAAGAAAGTGTGACGCTGGCGACGTGAACCGCCAAAACCATCAGCGCGTGAAACAGCTACCAGCGACCTTCTCGGCAAGCTTGTATGCTGCCTGGCATCAGTCCAGTACTCTTCAAGCTCGCTCGAGTTTCATCAATTCTTCTCCTGTGAAAGTCGTTTTGATTATATTATATAGCTCTGAGAATTGAAACACGGAAGCCGGCAAACCTACAATCCTTTGGGGACGAATAGGGGCAAGGGCCCGTAATTTCAGAATTACTTCCACAAAGTCACAAAGTCCAAGTGGTGCCTGATGCACATTATGAGCGGTTCTTCAGGCGCTGCCTCGGCAAAAACGAGTTGAGACACAGCAGCAAGCAGTTCCTGATAGTAGGGTATCATCTGCGCACAAAACTGGATCAGCACACGCAGGGTCGGGATAGGGGTCTGGAGTGCCAATGGTGCGCACGTCAAGAGGCTGTTGGTAAAGATCTTCCAAAAAAGTCCAAAACGTTTGGCTGTTTGTGCCAAACCCAACAGTTCTCAAACCATCTGATACGGCAAGCATCAACAAACGTTGCCATGTCAACCAGCTCCAAGGATAAGATATCTTGAGGTTTCTTCAGGAGTAACCCGTATTTACAAACAAACCCAGACCCTGCTGCTGAGCTGGGACGTGAAAAGCAACTACGGTAAGCGGATTCCCCAGCCTTTTGGACGTCCTAGATCTGATCGAACATTGTTGAAAGAACCTATATAGGTGGAGACCTAATTGCACCGCACCTCAGGAAGTCAGTACATATAAAAGCATATAAAAGCAACTAGTTCAAGCACTTCCGACTGTGGACACTATTCTGAAAACGCTTGGCAGGAGGGCAGGACAAGCATCAACAACAGCTTCAGCAGTAGCAGCAACAGGGTCGTCCAACTTCCACTAAGGCTTTGGGCTGTTGTGCTTTGAACAGTTCCACAACACGCTGCGCCGTATCTGGCCTCAAACCGCTGAACATCTCCAAGGTGAGATCAAATTTGGGACAACCTTCTGAATGTGAGGCAGTATTTACTTCGCTTCTCCACAAGGGCTCTATATTATATTACTATATATAAGGCCCTGGCTGCAATCCAAAACGTGGTCGAGACTGCACAAAGTGACCGTGCATCTTCGAATCCTCCTGTGCAAGCCACTTCCAAGCAGGCAAAACGGTGGAAAACAAAAATCACACGGCCTCGTTCAGGGGCCAATCGTCCAATGCCACCCAAGTAGATGGTTTGAACCTCGTGACCTTGGTCAAGTGTCAAAAAGTCATCCTCCGCTGTAAACTGGCAGATTTGAAGAGACGGGTGTGTTTGATTCTGGTTGCTTCACCAACAGGAGCTCCTGCAAAGAGTAGAAGGACTTCCCTGAGCTTTGAACCCATGCGAGGATCTCCCGACTGCGGTGGAACTGAGCGAGGTTTGGCGTACGTCCCACTGGAGGACCCAACCTCAGCCGAAGGAAACGGTTGCTCTCCAGTTACTAGTAGCGATGCCCTTGCTACTGGTAGCTTCTTGCTACTAGTAGTATGGCCAGGAGCTACTAGTAGCGTTCTTGCTCCTAGTAGCGATGCCCTTTGTTACTAGTAGCTTCTTGTTACTAGTATGCCCCGGAAACTCAAGATCAGCCCAGAACTCTTCATCTTGATACTTCTGTACGTACCATGACTGATCTAATGCGTAACGTGAGGCAGCAAACCACAACGAAACAACAAGACTCAAACATTCACAGAACTTTCCAGGTGACATAGTCTACCTAGAAGCTTTCTAGAAACTAGAAGCTACTAGGTGGAGGCCATCGCTACTAGTAACTAGAAGTTTTTTAGTATGTCTTTGACGCTCCTTCCGTTGGGATTAAGCACATGACCCAACTTCTCGCAGCTTTTCCTCGACAAATCGTCGGGCCGAAGGATCCTCGGGTCAGCCAAGGCAAAACTCGGTGAGTCCCGGTGGTCAAATCCTAGTAAGATCTATACAAGATAGCCAAGGGGATGTAGTAGGGTACACTTATGTACACTTACAAATCCAAAACTCTTGGACCTTAGCCTAACGAAGGTCTTCCTTCTTTGGGCATTTGCGGTGTTGCCGGTCAGGTCTGACAGTCGTCAGTAATGTCGGTAACAACAAGTCCAAGACCAATCTCCAGGCTGTTGATAAACAAATTGAAGCACCAGTGGCCTCAGAATCGTTGAGAAAATGTATCGTCCATCGTTCTATGGTCGTTGATTGTTCCACTCTGCCTTCACCACCTCGGCCACAAGCGCCTTGGACTCAGGCGTCACAACAACAAGGAACAAGTTCTTAAATTCAGTGCAGCACATGTCCATTGTTGTCGTATATCATATCAGTGAGTCTCAACATGTCTCAACATATGCCACACATATTCAAAAATATCCCACAAACCAGCATATCATACAACTTACCAGTTGCCCAATACTCAAGGCATGCATAGTTGTGCAAAGGCTGCCAACTATTGCCAATTGCTGATTGCCAACTATTGCCTTGGGTCCATCTGTTGCGCAAAGGGTGTGCATGTTTACTGCACATCCATGCAGACAAATATGCTAAGCAGCAAACCAGGCAGTTTGTCGAAAACTGTTGGCGCGGGTGTCGTGCCTGACATGCAATAACCAGCAATACCGTAGCCCCTGTAAACGACACAGGCATATCAATCACATGGAATCTTATCACACCTGCACAGGATGCAGTACACCATCAACATCGAGGAAAAGGACCTGAGCTGGGTTGATGTGCGAAAAGAAACATGAGGAAGCTTTCCAAGGCTTTTCAAGTCAAGTCTGCTGGACTGCAGGTCTCTCATATGATCTCATATGGCCAGTGCTCAAGGATCATACAATGCTCAACTACACAATACACATACATATACATATATTTAATATATATATATATATTAGCGAATCATTAAATGTGAAACACTACACAACATCATAATCATGATAGAACAAACACTGCAAGTGAGTGATGTGAGTCTTTGGAGTGTCTGAGCGGGACCAAAGAAGAGTCATTTGTCGAGTCAACGCGTCTTCCTCGAACGCGGCCAAAACGCAGCGGTCAGCCCTTCAGCTGGGTGTGGCTCTCTTTGCCGGAGGTCAGTCGACACACCACGTGTGCCCAGCCTCACTGGAACAAGAGAACTGAACACATTGAAAGTAGAATCGCTTCTCAGCCATTCAACTCCAAAAGAGATCAAGCAACATCAAGTGTTCATCTTGCCTCCAGCAACTTGGCCCCCCATTACAAAAACATCCTATTTATTTTTCTTTGTTTCTAATAGCGAGGGCCTCCACCTACTTGCCTGCGGCTGCCTCCAGCAACTTGGCCCCTCACGTTTTTTGTAAACTGTGGCCACGCGGCGTTGGCACCTGCCACGAGAAGGATGTATTGGGAATTACTGGATATTACTGGTATCTACTGGTATATAGTTTTTGTATGTTTTCGTATGTTTCCCAGAATCTTCTGGACTAAGTGTGGTTCAGATTCAGTGTCCCTGGTCTGATCCCTGGACAACTTCTGCCATGTAAAGGTCCGAAAACACCAAAGACCCACTTTAATCTGCTCACATGGCTCACATCTCTTTGGACCAAACGTCCCAACGCCACTCCAACCAAGCCGTGACACTCGATGGGCGGAGCAGCTTCGAGGTCGATCCACGGATGGGAGCGCAGGATCACGGCCAGATGCCTTGCGCGTGATCTGGGTGTTCATCGGCTGGAATCCCAATACTCAAGCAAGGAAAAATCAACACATATCCGCAAGCAACATCAATCACCCACCACGAAAGCACATGAAAACATCATGTATCTTTTAAATTCTATCTTTTGATCTCATGCATTCTCATGCACATTACACATGTGCTTGTGCTTTCGGTGAGGAAATCGTGGCCTGTGACACGGATCTCCTCCGCGCCGACGCTGTCAAGATCGCCATGGTGTGATCAAGATGCCATTGGAGACATTGATATCATCCGTACTTGGAATGGACATAGCCTACTTCGCTAGGTCCAGTAGCTTCCACAATTGATTCCCACTTTTGAAGCTGAAACACCTGAGAATTCAATAGGAAGAACGTATTCTGAAGGAGAGGTCTGTTGCATGAGCTGCACCCTTTACTTCAACTTTGATGATTCTGTGATTCCTCTTGTTCATTGCACTCCTATCTTCATCCACAAACTTGACCCTCAAAGCAATGTAGAGGATTCTGAGAGCAATCCAGCAGAATCGACAAGCTTCCATGAACTAACAATAGCATACAATAGCACAAATCTGGATGGGACTCAGTCTCTCTGCCAGCAGCAGGTCTAAGCAAACAGTTGCCCGCGGCCGGCCCATGTTTTGAAAAGTAAGAACTTTTTGTACAAAGCACTTCGTCTCAAACACTGGCATGGAAACACCATGCCAAGAATATCCTTCAGTAGTGAGGAGACTTCGCTGCGCCAGGTTTGAGTCTCGAAGGGGCCACTGCTCCATTGAACAGCTTCCTTAATTTGTTCATTTGGCTTTTAAAACTATGGATTCAAGGGATGGCATGCATGACACGTACCATACCAACTTGTCCAGCATCAGTGATTCTACACATCGAAGCATTCTGCAAGCCACCTAAAGATTGCGCTTGTGTTCTTATGACACTTCACTCCCCTAAACATGTCCTATCTTCGACATCTGTGCCTTCAACGTGGTAATCATGTCCTGGTATCTCTCCTAGCGTGCAGTTGATCCATCATGCAACCGTCGTCAATGGGCTGTTGATTCCGACAATCATCGACGATCACATGTGGACAGTTCACAGGGAGTAGTAACTAGCATTGAGCACATTTGAGCACTACCTATTTCCATCCTATTCCATCCTATTCCACTCAAGGAGTACGATTGAGGCGAAGCATTCCGTCCTTCGCTTTGTCATCCAAGTCTGCGTTCCTTGGCTTCCCCACGCGCTCTAGCTGGGCATTTCGGTAGTTGAGAGGCGCCCGAAGATTAAGCCGGGGGGGGTTGGCGGTAGAGCCGTAGAGGGAGATAGAGAAACGCTACTAGTAGAAGCAAACGGGAGTCGCTAGTAGCTACTAAGACGCTACTACCGACAGGACGCAGGATAGCTCGCGCTTCTTGCACCCAAGTTTCTGCAAACGCGCGAGGCAAAGTTGCATTTGCTTGGTGAGTTTCTCCAACATCTGCCTTTAGTGTAGAACACATGCAATGGAACAAATCATCACTTGATGCCATCAACTTGCATAGATGCCATATTTTAAGGTGGAATAATTCAACCAAAACCTGACGTCAATATTGAAACCTACTTTACCCGCGACTTTCAGAAAACAGCCTGCGTTTTTCGTGTTCTACTCTCCCTCTCTCTCTGTTACGTTCCTTCCCTTCCTCTCTCTCACTTTCTCTCTCACTCTCCCCTCACCTTTCAAGGCGTAAGCTCAAGCTCTGGAACTGTACAAGTTTGAGCGAGCGTGCAGTATCAACGCAGTTGCAACATGGCCTCTAGTCTCCGGACACCAGCCCAAGGGACCATGGCATGGACAATGCACTTAAATTGAATCATCAAAGCCGACTGCTTGGCAGTTCCCGGCAGCTCAAAACTTTACTCCTAAATCGAAGTTATCCAAGCATCCTAAACATCTTTTGAAGAGCTTAGCTTCATTTGCAAGGTAAACCTACAGCGACGCAGCTGCTACATGTAATCATCACCCGGGTGGTGAGTCATAAGTCAGATCGAAAATGATTACTTGTTTATCTTCCCCCACGCATCAAATATATGTGCTCGGCAAAGTGGGCAGCTGGGAGTCCGATTGCATCGTTTGACCCACTCTATCCAGGATTCCTCGGTCGGTGGAATGAGTTCGTAGTGCCAAAAGGAACTGAACAGTCCCATTGGTAGCAACTAAAAGAATCACGCGTGTGGAGGCAATCCTCATCCAACATCTTCGCAGAAACTACAAGTACTTGTTACCTTCCCTGAAGTTGTCGTGTCTTTCTTTGGTATATAGAAAGTCTTGCCGCCCGAATCTCGCAGCACTTCTTGTGAAAGATGTGGCCACATCGCAATTCCAGTGGGCCCCCATCCAAATGCAAAGGATCTTGACAAATCACGCACGCCTGTCGCTGTTGCTGTTGCCAAAAGCTCCAAGCTGAAATCACATCGCAGGAAAACACAAGTCAGATGAATCAGTAGAGTCTCTTGTGCGTTGAAAAAGAACATGTTAAGACTGTTAAGAACTGTTCAAAGCTTACAAACCTCGCCAGTGGTGATGCCCAGCGCATTCAAGAGGATCTCTTCTGTTTCCCCTTTGGCATACCCGGAGTACAGCCTCAGCTGATGCTGACAGGAGGGTTCTCCAACCTCGAAAACGTTGGGATGCATCATGATGCATCCAAGCAGAAAGACTGCAACAGGCGCCTGTTCTTTTGCGAACGAAAAGCTTGCGCACACGCTCAACCAGCTTCGGAAACCGTTGTCGCCTCAGTCATAAGCATCTTGCCAGGTTCTGATTGGATACACAGATACACATCAATAATTAAACATATATAGTAATATATAGTATATACATGTATATACTGTTTTCAAACATGTTGTTACAAGCATTAGCACTACACTGAGCAGTGCGCGTCTCATCACAGGTGTCTGGGTCTGCCTCGGGCAAGCAGCGAAGCGCATCAGCTGCAGCCAAACGGACGGTCTCGTCCTTGTCGTCAAGGGCCACACAGACCAGCATCTCGAACAGTGTTCCCTTGGCTCTGAGCCACAAAAAATTATCCGACTTCTCTCGTTGTCTACGATTGCTGGCCTGCAGCCGTTCTATATTCTTGTTTGATGGCAAGCAAGGAAACAAAACTGTGTGACCATGTCTGAATCCTCTTGATCAAAAGAAAGACACGACATCACACAACATCACACGACACACACTTAGACATTGGGTTTTCAGTGAATCAGAATGTACGTCGAAAGGAACGATGGAACCGAAAGGCAGCTGGGTCCGGTGACTTTTATAGATGTTTCAACAAAAGAGTTCAGTCGTGACTGCGCAAGGCTGCGGTGGCTCAGCTGTAAATGCGGTAAAAAATCGGTTTGGGGAGGTATCGTGCAGAACAACCATGAAAGCAAAAGACAGCGGCGAAGAGTGGAGTAGTATCACCATGCAGGTACATGGTTGAGCGTCCTCAACCACTTCCCTTCCAGTGACCCAGCTTCGTTGGATCAGGTTAGTCACTGGAAGCCTGATCCCCCTGCGTAATTTTGGTGTAACGGTGTAACTGACAGAACTTCTGGCGGCGGAGGGTGACACACACATGTAGCCGCTTGGCGGCGCTCCGATGCGGGGCAGCGGGCTTTTGGGCGCTGCAAAAACCTTTCTGGACATAGAGATTAACAAGGTGGTCAACCGCTGCATCTGCCGCTGTAGCTGGGTATGTGTACTTGTAGATGGTGTGTAGTCGTGAGGCAAGTCCAGAGAGTGTGAGCCGTTTGCTGCCAGCGTTGAACCCAGAGTTCTATTAGTGATTCTCCAAAGTCGTGGTGGATGAGTGTTTGGATTGCTGGGTGTGAGAGGAAGTGCTCGGAAGTGATGCCATGGCTGGGGTATGGATAGCTGGCCGGGGTGCTGTGGGTAAAGATGTTGTAGACTGATGTCCAGTGCTCTGCTAGAGACTGGTAGTAGGAAATGATGGTTCTGCCCTTCTGCCATTGCTTCTTCTCCTTGAGGTGTACAATGTCATAGGGGGGCGGTGAACTCCTTCTGGAATCACCATTTGTAACGGGCGCGGAGGCCACTAGGAACGGTGGCCAACAGACGGCCATTGATGTTGAGTGGAGTGAGGTGGGGTAGCGGTTGGAAAAGTTCAGGCGCGCGAATACGCGGAGCCGTTGTAGCTCGTGGGGCGCAGGACTTTGCCGCCGAGATGTGGAATTGCCATTGGCGAGAAAGGTTCTGTGTGCTGGACAAGGGAAGGCGGAAAACCTTCCATTTTCGAAAGGCGTTTTGGAAAGCCACGTAGTACCTGGCCTTGGTCGGGTAGAAGGCGCTGTTCATATTGGCGTTGAGGAAAATGCGGAGGTGGGATGGAAGCTGGAGGTGGTCCAGACTGAGGATGTGGTGTCCGTCTGTGGTGGGTTGGTGTGGATTGATGAGAAGTGTTTTGAGATGACCACAGGCGCAGGGAAGGTCCATTGGATCCACGGGGGTGAGTATAAACTGTCTTCCCATCTTAATGGTTGTGGAGCTGGCTGCGGAGTGTCTTATGAGCAGCTTCTCGGAGTCGATGTGTAGGAAGATAGCGTGGGTTCTGTGTCTGGATGGTGGTTCGTAGCCATTGCTGAGTTTCTGTGATAAAATTGTCATGGGCCAAGAAGGGGATGGTGAGGGGGGGGTTTGTACGAGGAGGAGTGAGGATGCGATACTGCATGGGTGTGTGGGTGATCTGAAGTGCTTTGGTGCGACCTGGTTCTTCCAGGTTTGCGGCCATGCGGCGAATAGCTTGAATAGCATATAGTTCCAGGTCACTGTGACGGCCGCTGCGGAGTTGTTTGGTTGCTTCAAAAGAGTCTGCTGTGTGTTTGGTTAAGTTTCGCAAGAGGGTGAGGGCGTGGTGTTTTGTGGAGGTGAAGAGGTGTGGTTCGCTGATTGTTTTCTGGCGCGGTCGAAGTCTTGGAAAGAGTCGCTTGTGGGTGGCAAGGCGGGAGAAGAAGTGTGCTCTATGCTTGGTAAATTGCCAGGCCTAGGCTTTCAGCTTGAGGTGGTGGGAAATGAAAGGGCAGTGGAGGAAGGCATCCAGTTGGAGATGTGGTCATGGATCCAGGCTTGGTCATAGGCGTCATGTGAGGAAAGTTGAATGGTGGTGTACTGGTCGATAGTGTTGCGGTTGAGCCAGTAGCGAAGGGAGAGTTCAGCTGAAATGGGAATGTTTTTTTTTGGAGTTGCTTGAGCTTGGCTCGTCGATTGCGCTCTCTGTGTGGAACGCCGATGGCGGTGGAGCCAATATAGAAGTGACCATGTTGATGGTAGCGTCTGTGTGGGGGTTGGATGTTGAATCGGAGTTTGATGTAAACTGAGTTGGGGGAGAGGAAGTGGTGGTAGTAGTAGGTGCGCGGCATCACTTGGAGCTGGCGAAAGCGCGTTCGCCATTGCTGAGAGCGTTGAGTGTTGGAAGGGTAAGCGAAAAGTAGTGTGAGGTGGAGCAGGCCAGTGGCAAAAATATGAAAAAATGACGTCTGCTCTCTCGATGCATGTGGCATTGTGGATGGGGGTGGAGAGGGCTTGGTGGAGCCGAAAAAGGTGTTGCATATTTGTGGTGTGAGGAGATTGCTGAGCGATGTGGCTCAGTCAGCAGGCCAGCGCTGCTCCTGTCATGACCATTTCGCAGTGTCTTGAGGGGGCACTTGTTCAACTTGTTCAAACGGAGCCCATATCGGGCGCCTGCTTCACGAAGTAAGTTGCTCCTGCGTGCGCTTGTTCGTTTGGAGGAGACGGACAATGTCTTTGGCAGATTCCTGGATGGCCTCATCAAAAGTGGACAGCCAGGCTGCAATGGCCTGGTAGGACCATCCTCAGAAAAGACGTCCTTGAGTGAGGGCGCGGTGGCTGAAGAATGTCGGCCAAAACAGGAGGTTTGTGGGTGACTGCTTCGGGGAGGGTGGAGGTATAGCGGATCTTGGCGTCCTTGCGGGGTGTGAGTGTCAGCACATGTGTCTGGAGTTTTGCTTGGGCTCTTTCAAGCGCTCTTAGCTTTGAGTTCGCGGATGGCCGAGCCTTCGGCCGCGGCCGGAGCATGGGCAGCCAAGTGAGTTGTGAGCAGGTCAATGAGGGGAGCGAGGTAGGCGCGGGCTTGAGTGGTCTTGTTGGGAATGTCAGTCCCCTTGGCACGGTGGAGGGCCTCGGCTGTAGCGTCGAGGTCAAGCCGCTTGTCTCGCAGGTCTTGAAGGAGGCGTGTGATGAAAACTGATTTGGCAATACTGCGGGTCGGGATGAGTCGCTCAATGTTCGAGCCGCGAAGCCCCCCGCGCCACGGTATGCGAGCAACCATGGATACACGTCGAATATGGGAAGGCCAGCAATGCCAACCTTACGTGACCACGACGTGGGCTGTATCGCGCGAAACAGCTGATGGTTGTGGAGGACGGAGGCTTGGGAAATGGGACTGTAGCAGGAGGTGTTGGAGACGTTGTGTGGTGCGCTGGGCTATGGGGTGAAAGAAGAGGTGTGGTTGGGCGTCACAGGTGCCTGCTGGAGGAGGCGGCGGCGGAGGGAACTCCGGTTGTGTTGGTGGTGGTGACGAGGTGTGTGTACTGGGAGAGTGATGGTAAGGCTGATGCTGGTGGGCCTGGTGGGTACGAATTGCGTGAGTCATCGGTCCGTATGTTTGAGTAAGTGTGTAGTGGCTGCCAGCTTGCGGGTGGCGCGCTTGCTGGTGCAAGTAGGGCTGCCAATAGTACTGCTGCCATTGTGCGTCCATGATGATCGTGAGGGTCGCTGAGAACACGGTAGGAGCAAGTTCGAGCAAAAAGCTGAAAAATCACGTCCTGTCATCCATGGTGACGTATCGGAAAAATCTAGGGGGTGAAACGCATGATTGGGTACCAACTGGATTTGTGAGGGGCAGCTCAAAAAATGGTTATCTGTCAGCGCGAGCGGCAGCGCAAAAAATCAAGCGGCAACTCAAAGTTCTTCTTTTTGGACGGACCGTTGGTGGTCTTGGTGTGGCGTAGCGCTGATGGCCTTTGAAATCATTCAAAGTGTCAATAGCGGTCGTATAGGGATCCAATGAGTCATTGGGACATAAAAACCCATCATGTGGAACGGAAACCGAGGGTGACCTGGGGAAGCACAAAAGAGAAAAACGAAGCCGCTGAAAGTGATAGAGTTGTATCAAAAGGTTGGATATTCGGGTTAGACCACTTCTGCAATGCGCACAGCGCTCAGAGCTGCTAGAGCCTCAGGGATCGGTGGCGCGACACGGATTATTGTTGACGTCGTAGTCTTGTTGGTGAAGTGGTAGTGGACGCTCAGTCGCGTCATAGATCTGTGGGTTGGTAGGTGGTTGAAGGAAAGCTGCTGCGGGCTGCTGAGTTGGTGTTGCCGCAGGGCTGATGTGGGCTGTGGATGTGGCAGTGGTGCTGATGTTGGCTGTTGAGTTGGAAGTGGTGCCACACAGGGTGTGGAGTGCGGATAGGTGGCATATGGAGCCGGAGTGGTGAAAAGTGCAGGATGCGGCGTGGCACAAACATGTGCTTGGACGGACTGGGTCGGAGGCCACCATCCTGGGGGTCGGCTGCGCCCGAACACCAGTAGCGGGGCGGGCTGTTGGTGGAAAATATGTTGCTATTGCTTGGAGATTGGCTGATGGCTGTGGCGTGTGTTGGTAGGCCCATGGAGCTGGGGCCTGCTGGGTTGCGGGGAGGGTGACCCGCGTCGCGGTGGGGCAGTGTGGGCACGACTTTGCGAGCGTGGGGGTGTTTTGGACCGGCCGCGACGGCCTCCCCCCCCCGATGGGGTTCGCAAAGTCTCCAGGCAGCAAAGGAGGAGGTGGCTTGGGGAATGCTGGTTGTGAAGATTGGTTGGAGTCCATCGCAAGGACCTTGGGGATAAGTTCTGCATATACGCATGGCCGTACTCTCCCGGTTGCTTGTTGGGGTAATGTTGGCCACGGGAGAACGTGCCTGGTGACGCGGGAGAAGGACGGGTATATGGGCAAAGAGTGGAGCTCGGTTTGCGCAGGTGCGTCATGGGTGATGGGCGGTGCGAGCTGGGATTGTGGTGTTTGTCATTGTGTGGGTGGAGTGCTGCCGGTCACGCGATGGGTGCCTGCCCAAAGCACGGGTTCTGTTTGCTGATCCGAGTGGACGGTGAGTGGTGGCAAGTAGGATGTCTGGGCGGTATTGTGATGCAAGGGGATGGCGTGTGTGGGGCAGCCTGCACTGTAGATGATGTTGCGAGTGACCGGCGGGCTTTGGCCAGGTGCCTTGGCCTGGTGGCAGAAGGGGGTGAAGTGGCGGTTCGGATGGCACAGTTGTTGGATCGACGGTGGGGTGGTTGAGGAAAGTAGTGGCCCAATGAACCTAGAAAAAGCTTTGACCGCTCTGGTCACCTACGCCTTGCCAAAGTGGCTGGCTGTTTAGACCGCTGCGGTCACGTAAAGGCATGAGCCATCTTGGAATGCAATAATCCGTCAAGTCTTGGCAAGTGACTTTGGCCTAAGCCTACTTCGACCGCTCTGGTCACGCACATCTCCGGGCAGGGGAGATAAAGACTAACCCGCGTTCGAAGGGGTAGAGGGGCCACTCCTCGGGGCACCCCGGGCTCTCACGAGGAGGGACACAATAGAAGTGCGTACTGACTGGACAGCGGTGCCACACGCCAGCCTAAGTAAAAGCCTAAGCAAAGTTCAAGCAACAAATGCGTGTCTGCAGAGCTCAAAACCGATGCAATGGCCAGCGATTTGTTCTAGTAACAAAGGGGCCCAAGAGGAAGTAAGTGGTAATCACTGCAGGTACGTCTGGCTGATCAGGCCAGATATCAGCGCGGAACTTGACCCTCTTCGTTGGATCACCAGTCAAGTCCGTGAGTGATCCCCCTGCTTCAAAGAAACAGCAAAACCAAACACTCCGACGGGATCCCTGTGACTCCAAGGGTGACACACACACACACACAATATCTAAAGTTTCTCTTGTTCAGGTCCAAGTAACTGCGTTTGCAATTGCCTCCGGATCTTCCACAAGGCCCAAATAACCCAAAAGTTCTTTGGCGCCTCCACGTCCAATCGCCGCCATTGTTGTGCAGGTGCCACATCGAATCTTCGGGCGGGGGTCCCTGGCTGAAATGCCAACAGCTTCAATGTACTGTAGATGAACACGGCACAGGTCCCCTCCAACCTAAGGGTAGCACAGGTCCCCAAATAAAGAAGAGAATCCGCTCTAAAAGGTCGTATGGTATGACGGCTCAAAACCGCCTTTGGATGCCTTTGGCAAATGCCGAGCGCCCTCATCCACTGGAACAAATAAAACTATATTCACATAATATGGAGAAAACATGGAAACATCATGGAAACATGTCATGTATGTCCAATGTTCCCTGACCGCTTCCTCACAGACGTTTGCTGAAGGTAAAACCGAAGCAAACCCCGGCATCGGCACTGAGCGGTTCCCAGGCCTCAAACCAATTAGAAGACGTTCAACTACCCTAGCCACTGCTGCACCCTCTCCCGCGCAAGCAATGGCTGCCAGCGCTTCTAAAGGTGCAGACAGCGAAGAATTGCTTGCCTTCAGGGCCCAGCATGTTTGCTTTACGATGTTTAGGATGAAAAAGAACCCCTCATTATGAAACTACATTGGGCGTGCCAAAACTTGCTTTTCAGTGATCTGTTCGAGCCAGTCCTGCCTGAGTAGATTCAAAACAGTGCATAATGCTGGTTACATCTCTTGCCACCATTGCCGCAGCACCCTCCTCTGCCAGTACCCTGTACAATGCTGAGACCTTTCGCTGAACCAAAATGTTTTCATCCTTCAAGCATGGTAGTAAAGCATATGAATGCTGCGCCACCGCTATTGCATCGTTCTTCTCCGCGATGGATCGCAAAGCTCCCAGGATGGCCAGCTTTACCGGAGCATCTTCACCTGCTTTTAAGCCTTAGCCAAAGCGACAAACTATTCCGTAGCTAGTAGTAACAAGTGCCACGCTAGTAGTAACAAGTGCCTTACTAGTAGTAACAAAAAGCTATTAGTAACAAGTGCATCGCTACTAGTAACAAGTGCCTTACTAGTGGTAACAAAAAGCTATTAGAAACTCCGTCCGTCCGCTCCGCTCCACGCCTCACCTCCCCTCACTCTCCCACTCCCTCACTCCCTACCTCACCCGCGCTGGGAGTTTCTGCTGACACGCCTGGGTGGCCGCTGAGCGGCTGGCCTCTTGCCCTTGCGTTTCCATGTGCTCTGCTTGCTCTTGAGGGGTTGGGAGGTTCTGCTGACGCACCTGGGCCTGTGGATGGCTGGCCTCCTGCCCTTGCGCTTCCCTGCGTTTTGCTCGCAGGGATGGGAGGTTGTGCACTCATTCAACTACTCACTCCATCCACTTAATCATTTCTTCATCTCTGCGTTCCTCCTGAGCCACAATGAACTTCACATGTGGGATTATCCGGTCCTTTAATTTACAGTCAAGGCGAGTGCAACTTGGTCGCATGTGATCTCATCTAATTCCAGAATGAAACACCAACGTCTAAAACCTTTACTTTTTAACAGGAGTGACTTCATTGCTGTGACTGAACCGCCAGTCCAGTGTGGAATAGTGCAGAGTAGATCTGTATACTATATAGATGCATTTGATACGCATATTACTAACTTGCACATTGAGTGGCAAAGCACGGTGTTTGAGCATCTGACATTCGACATGCAAGCTTCCAAAAGCTCCAAAGTCTTCACAGCTTGCTGGGCGCACAAACCAAAGAAGCTTCAACATTAATTAAGATGGGCATTGCATGGCCTTGCTGTTTGTTGCCATTGCTTGTCCCGCCTGAAGTTCAATCAGTGTTCCTGAAAAACTCAGTCTTCCTAACTTGGTCTGCGTACTGTGCCTACCAACTGAGACACATTAAGACTCTCCTGTGATGATTCCTATGGGATGTTTGTTAACCCTTCTTCAAGCCTTCTTCCGCCAAGCTTCCGCGAAGCATGGGTGGCAAGTTTCCCGCCAAGGCTTTTGCTAAGCGCTCACCTTTGCACAGCGAGGCCAAAGCCTCTGCGGCCTTATGCCGGACCTGTTGGAGCGATCGGAAGGTGGTCTACCCGCCCCATGCCCTCATGCCGTGGCTGTGACTCAAAATTGATCAACCTGCAACGACAGGTGGGGCCCGACGTTCCGTCGGCTCCGGTCCAACGGTCCGTTTCGCGTCCGTTTCGGGTCTCTCGGACCCATCACCTCGCCATCTTTGGAGCACAAATCCTGCACAAAGGGACACGAAGTAGCTTCTTGTTACTACTAGTAAGGCACTTGTTACTAGTAGCGATGCACTTGTTCCTAGTAGCTTCTTGTTACTACTAGTAAGTGTTCTCAGCTGAAAGAAGAGGAACTACTCCAGGCAAGTATACAAAGAATTGATGTGCTGCTCTTCCGCTGGTGTTGTGTATTCCTCCTGGAGGCAAACTCTCAATGCATCTCAGCAAAGATTCTTACGTTACGCATCTTGCCCATGTCATAAGTGCGAAAGAGTGTACATCCAAAAGGTACAGTGGAAGCAATGAAAACATTCTGCCTCCAAATTACTGTCTCGGTCCTTCGCGGTGTATGACAGCTTTTGTCGAACGCGAAGCCATCGGCTTGGTGCACCAGAGGCTTCCAACGCAGCCGTCGGGCCAAGCCCCAAAGACATGGAACTCCCGAGAGTCCAAGGGGCGTCGAAGGGGACCCTAAGGGGGATGGTTCTTTGAAAAAGCAGTATGAGCTCTTGTTCAAGACTCTAGTTCCACTTTGGGGGAAGTCTCGTGGAGTGTTAAATGATACCTAAAATTATATAAATCATCTTAAATCTAATAATATATACAGTAAGAAGATCGTTAAATCAGAGATCTGGATCTTTTTGCTGTAATGGATCACTCTTCTGATGCCAAGCAAGCAACTGTGCTATGCCAATTATGCTCGATCAAATAGACTTCAATAAACTGTTACTCTACAGCAGGATCTTTCTGTGACCACCACCCTGATCCCGAAAGGCAGCGTCAAACAGCTTTGAGGTGGCCACTTCTAGATCTACAATCTACACTCTACACCACTTACTAAACAGAGCCTTTCAATGCTGTGATATCTAGCAGCCATATCTGCCATCCCAGCTTCAGCGACTTCACCTTTCTAGTCAGGTCCACAGTTCTTGCCTCTTTCCCTCCTCCATGGCTTTTCGCTTTTCTGCTAGTTCGCGCTGGGCCTCTCGTCACTCCCCAGGATTCGTTCACAGTCCCTCATTTGCAACTGTTACAACGCCAATATTGGTCTTCATAACATCCCAAGCCACACACTTGACACAGGCCTTGTCGGCCTCTTTTGCATCATCAGAAACCACTAGCCTTGTCGCGGTAGTAGTGTAAAGACTGGCAAAACCAGCATCCAGGACCAGGAACAAAACCATTCACTTGCACTAGTACTTAGAACTCTGTGTTAATCATGCAGTCGACTCAGGGCATCACGTCATGTTCTGAAGTGGCATGTTGGGCCGTCGAACTGGAGAGGCAAACGTCCTCAATGACTCTGCGTTCCTACAGTGGGGACATGTCGCGACTAAGCCTCTTGGGTTGTGATGTGCGTTACAGCCTGACTCTGAAATCTCAAGGATGCATTTAAAATATGTAAAAGCAAAACCACACTCACAAATGATGACCAGGAAATGCAAAAGAAAGGCAGGAAAAAAGCAAACAAAGGCAGCTTGTCAAAAAGAGTGCATATCAAAAAAGCGAACACAATTCATCAGGAAGCCCCAAAACAGCAGTTTCAAAAAGGAACAAAAAAGCAAACAAAATGAACAACAAACAATGCACATGTACCAAAATGTCACAACAACGGTGACTGTTACAAGGAATCAAGCAAGTAAAAGCAAGGGAGAGCCTCAAGCAAACAGGAAATTGCTGGTCGAGTCGGGCCGCATGAAATAGCAACAAACAATAAGCAGTAGTTAGGAATACTACAGCTATAGTGTTATACAAGCAGTTAGTTAGTAGTGAACATTCACTCGACGATGGCTGAAACAATATGTTCATTAGCCAGCTCTTGCCAACGCCGAAAAGTCGACCAAGAAACGACAAACCAGTTCACAAAATCCACAAAAACTGCTCTGGAAAACAATCTTGCGTCTTAGAACAACCCCTGAGATTCAAGCTTGTTTGGCACCGGTGAACCAGCCTTAGTCTCAGTCTCTTCAAGCCACCGAATCAGTTGACTTGAATGTCGTCCCAGGCTGTTCAACTTCAAAAGAGTCGTTCAAACCTCCGAACCTGTCCAAGCACTTTGGAAGCAAACTGTCTTGGCCAATCCTCTGGGAGGTGCTGCTGGCCTCAAAACACTAGGTCACACATATATATATATTATATATATATACAATATGTGCTCTTTGTGAGGCTTCAGGCTTCTTGGACCCTGGCATTTGGCAAACAGGCTCCGGGGTGGTCTTTGCAACCTGCGGGCGCATCTCCAAGTGCTGCCATCACCGGCTTGAGTCGAAAAACCAACCTTCTGCGCCGACACACAAGGCGGTCCTTATCGTGTGTGACTTCGAAAACCCCCTGTGAGTGTAAACGAATGGCTTCAGATTCGGTCCAACTGCATTCGACCTGGTCTATTCTTGGACCTTTTCGTTCTGATTCAGGAATCAACAACACCTTTGTTGTCAAAACAACACCTTTTGGGTGGAATCTCTGAGTCTTTGGCCAGACACATTAAAGATGTCCTGAAGCAAAGCCATTCATTAGATCATCGTTCACATGTCCTAGTCCAGTCTCCTGTTCAACCATAATAGTATGTCAGCAAATGTGAGCGAACTCGTACAATCGCACATCAATCAACATGTCTCACAGCTACTTAGTAACACATCGTTGACATATGTTGACGACATATCTCACAACTCATGCTTCCAGACTCCAATCAATTGATGAAATACTTAGCATCTTTGAAGCATGATGGCTTCCCTAGTCCTGCCTTGCTGCCAAATCCAGGACCGCGTGGTTTAACGACGCCGGGGATTCCAACATCCTGCATCTGGGGAATCATGGTGAGCTGATGACATTTATCATCGTGTCACTGGTTCATTCATTTCACCCAATGCTTTCTGGATCTTTCCTCCAAAGCTGGATACCTCATGACCGACTCATAACACTAACATTCAAAATAATCAAAACCAAATTACGGTCTGGACCTATGGATCCAACGCCATCGCTTCCCTCATCATGTGTGTTCTCATCACCAATCAGACTTGCGCACCAACGTAACCAGCAAACGTGTCATATCATTTTGCTGTCTGACAGCCTCAAAGCAATTTCATAACATCAGATTCAGCTCTGCAAGAGCTCAGACCGCCTGGCCTCATCGTCATCCGACTCTTCTAAAGGTCTTTTGGGACGCCGAGGATCGATGACCGTCTCAGACCGCAGCGAAGCCATGAATCACAGCTTTCATGCATTCCATATGCAACAAAGCACGCAATTTTGGTCCAGGTGTCCAGGTGTCCTATCTCTAGGGCAACTGAGATATGGACCACCTTGCGGCTTGGTGGTTCGTGACGACCCTGACAGCTGCAACCACCGTTGGGTCTCGCCCCCCTAAACTGAAAATTGCTGGAAGCATTTTGTCTTTTTCAATGTTCAACGATGTGAGACCGCCATCCGCGATTGGACGGACGTCGCAGCACCTCTGCAGCCACGAAGGTGATCGGCTCGATCTTCGCGGATTCTTCTTCGACTTCCTGGAGGTGGGTGGATGCATTCACCGGTCGGTCCCACAGGTCCACGTTTTTGTGGATCAGCTCTGGGTTCAGAGTGGGGTGGGGGCAGGCGGCTAGTAAGCTTAAGTAGCTAGCAGCAAGGGAAGCTACTACAGGATGCAGAAAGGCTAGGGCTTATTAATGATTTGGTTCCTAGATGATGTCTGGGGAAGCTTCACTTGTTGTTTCGTTAGGGAACATCATCACCAAAGCACACGGCGAAGCTTGATTCAGAATCCCTACCCCTTCCTGAGGGGGACGTCGAAGATTGTAAGTTACATTTTCCTATCCGTAGGGCCTCAAAAAATGTAATTACATTAACTTTGAGGTGGCCTCAAAAAAGTAACTTACATTTTTGAGGCCTCATGGGTGATTTCCCGGGGAATGACCTCAAAAATGTAAGTTACATTTTTGAGGCACAATGGAGCGCTTACATTTTTAGACACCCCCTATCCTAGAAGTTGAAACTTGACACATGTAACTTGACACATTTCCTGTTCTGCTTTGTTGATGATGACTCATATTTTTGGAGGCTATGCTTTCCTTATTGGGAGTATTGGGAGGCATCAGTTTGTCTGTGTGGGTGTGCCCTCTTTCCCTTTCCTGTAGGCTTTTTCTGGGTGTGCCTGCAATATCCTTTAATATCCTTTAAGTACTTTTGTGTGGCTTGTTGCTGCAGAAAGCAAACATGAGTCACAATCAGCAAGAATATCAGCCACAAGATCAGCCACACACACAAAGCCAAGACAAAACAAAACCCCACACTAAGGTAACAAATCCTGCAATATCCCCATCATTTAATTACTTTTGTGTGGCTTGTTGCTGCATGAGTCATCATCAGCAAAGAATAACAGCCATAAGATCAGCCACAAGATCAGCCGACAAAGCCAAACAAAACAAAACCCCACACTAAGGTAACAAATCCTGCAATATCCCTTAATATCCTTTGATTACTTTTGTGATCTTTTGTGTGGCTTGTTGCTGCAGATAACACACATGAGTCATCATCAGCAAAAAATAACAGCCACAAGATCAGCCACAACAGGGAGAGGCTTGCCACCTGGTTGCGCTTCGTGACATCGGACATGAGTGATTTTCAGCGTGCTAAAATGTAAGTAATGCAGGGGGACACTCCAGTTCCTTGAAATTCTGGGAAGTTGGGCATGTGCTAAAAATGTAACTTACAATTTGTGAGGTCCAACTTGATCCCAGAACCCACGTATTCCCTGCAAAATCTGAGGGTTTGGTTGCGTGGACTAATTGTAAGTTACAATTTTTCACGTCTGCAAATCTCACCTGTGTCCTTTTCCTTGGCGTTGATGCATCAGTTTGTGCGTGTGTATCATCAGGATTTCCGCTTGGCTTCATTGGTGGCGTCTGGAAGCTTGCGCCGACAGGGAGGGGCCGTGGTGGATGCTTTGTTCAAAAGCATCATGCTCAAGATCAACCGGAGAGGGTCTTAAACACATGTAACTCTAAGCCTGCCAGGTTGCAACTTACATTTTTTAGACCTCCCACACATCCCTTCGATCTGCCAACACACCCTGGGGGGGGGGTTTTAAAAATGTAAGTTCAGGCCTCCCAGGTCTCAAGTTACATTTTCCAGACCCCCCCCCCTCCCCCGATTTGCCTAGTTTTGATGGTGCCTGGGGGGGGGTAACTTACATTTTTTGACCCCCTAGGGGGGTACCCTAAAATGTAACTTACTTTTTTGAGGTCCCCCCTCCCGGAAGTAGCTTAAGAGGGTAGGGATGATTCAGATCGATAAGATTGAGTACGAGACCCAAAGCGCATTGGGGAGCCTTCGCTTGAGCTGTAGGTGGAGTGCCCATCACTAGTTCTCGCCTCTTGGCAGATTCAAAATTGACAAACGGAAGAAGCCAAGACTGTCGGTGAACATACAAGAATTCAATTGACCTGGCTTGCCCAGCAGGTTGAGCGCTTCCAATCTCAGCTCCGCGAGCTCGAATGCCAGTTGATGGGCCAATTTTAAAAAGGAAACGGGATGAATATTCTTGAATGACCCACAAGGCTAAAGAAATCCATCACAAAGGCTAAGAATACGATCAGTACGAATATGTATCAAAGACATTCAACGCAAAGACACTTTCTTGTTATGCCCTCTGCTTGTTTTGCCCTGCACTTTGGCTTTCAAACACCCCTTTCCTGACTCTCTCGCTGTTATCTGAGGTGTTGGCACCACCTCGCTGGTCAAGGTTTTCCTTCTCCCGGAATCTCTTTTTCTCCCTCATGACGAGTAATATCCCACGAGCATGCTATGACTCACTGAGGTCTGGGGTCTCTATAGGTCTCTCGTTCTGATCGCATATGAGGATAACGTGTGTGCAAGATTGTGCAAGCACTGCTTGCAACAGCTTGACACCGCTTGAAACCACTTGGCACACGTGGAACTGCCCAAAGTTGGGTGACTTCTGCCAAGGTTGGTGCGGAAGCAGCTCGCCTCTGGCCTCTGCCTGCGAGGGCAAAGATTGAACACTTCCCTGCAGAATTGGCATGTCAGACATGATGTCAGCAGAGTTCAAAGACAATTATCTTTGCTAGACCTATCTAATTATGGCCCCATTCATCGTTCCTAATTAAGTGCTCCTGAGCGTTCCTCCTAGCCCCTTGACTCAGGAAGCTGCCTCCGCCTTGGCTTTCAGCTTGGCAAACGCCGCCCAAAAAACGCTTCCTTTGTCCGGATCAGATGGCTTGGGAGTTTCGGATGCCTTAGGAACAGCTCGCCCGGTGAAACATCGAAGTTGGACATCCTCAGACTCCAATCGCGTCTGCTGGGTAGCTGAACTGGCTTTTCCTCCTCTTCCGGACTGCTGGCCCTGCTGGCCTGGGCAAAACGTCAACAACTCTGTCATCCTCCAGCATTTCGGATCCCCAAATTGCCAGAGTACGTAACTAACCTCGCCACAGGTATGAGGTGGTATGACTTCTTTCATGCTCTTCAAGCGAGCAAGTTGTACACTTGCTTACAGTTGGTCCTTTTGCCAGGGCAGTTGTTTATCGTTGAGCCCAAGTCGCTGCAGCTTGCTGCAAATTCTCAGGGCGTATGGCCAGCTGACCTTGATTTCTTGGATCTCTTGCATCTCATGCTCGATTCTAGGGTTAGGGAAACCAAGAAAACGCACTTCTGCCGCTACTAGCCATGGATCAATTTTGCCCACGGACTTGGTAAACATCCTGAAATGACCAGACCAGAATAGTCTACTGTACCAGCGCCTCATTGCTATTTGTCTCCCGCGCTTTTGACCCACAGTCACATCCACATGTTCTCACATGGTCCGGTGACACTCAGGCGACTGACTTGAGACTTCTAAGGCCATGACTTCCAGAGCCCAACTTCACGACTACTCGCCCGGGCCTCACAGTAGGGGGCCCAGTGGCCATGGAAAATAAAAGGCAAACAAATGCAAAAACAATGCCACGGCCATCGCTGAGAAGAAGGCTGTGAAGGATCATTGCTCCGAAGAACTTCAGCACTGCTTCCGTTCAGATCTGGCCTTTACCAACAGGTGTGTGTGTGTGTGTGCGAACTTCAGGTTTGAAAGCACAAAGCGCTCTTGTGATCTGCCTCTTCTCCAAGCCGCAAAGAGTTACCATATCTCCCTCCTAGTCAGACCCTTTCTCACCACAAGCGCCATCCCACATCCAGTCATGCATCATGGAATGGATGATAGTTACAGCATCCAGAAGCATCATCAGCATCCTTGAAGGCCATCCCAGGATGAGCTTGGCTGAGTCTTGGATCTTTGGGCCTGTGAATGGACATAGAATTGGAACAGGGAATGCCAAGCCCGTAGGTCAAACAACAGGGCCCAAGACTTGACTCAATGTGGTGAAGCAAACATTGTGGGTGTGACATTCATGGATATGTTATATATTCTATGATACATCATAATACATCTCACAATGACATGCTGGTCTCCTCGGCCCTAAGGAAATATCCAGCATGTGGAAAGCAAGCGCGCCTTGTTGGAGGTGCCTTTGAGCAATTGCACGGTGAAAACTTGAGTGTGTTGGCTCAAAGTCCAATGGGTCTGAGTCATGACTTGGTTTTGAATCTGTTTCTACGGCTGTACAAAAATTGTTTCTTTTGCTGGGATACCGCGGCTTTGACCAACACCCAAAACAAAAGATTGATCTAGGACCTGGTGCTCCTTCTCCAACCAGGCGAGGAATTCCTGCAGCGACTGCGTTGCTCCGGATGGGCACGTCAATGCTTTCGGTCGAAAGGTTAAGTTTCCAAAGCAGCCATGATTAGTGCGAGTGCTTCAAGGAAGCTTCCCCATCAGGCAAGGGGAGCTTCATTGAAGCGTGAGCTATCCTGTGTCCAGTTATTAGTACCGTCCTAGTAGCTAGTAGCTTACTCCCTTACTTAATTAAGTGGGCGCCCAATATAGTCAACAAAACAAGGGGACTGTGAGAGTGCAGTGGGTGGGAGCCGGCTAAAAACACTAGAAAGATCATGAAAGATCTAGAAAGGCTTTTGTGCCGACATGTCAGCCTTTTTGGGCAAAAAGAGCGAAGAAAACCTTTCAAGAGTTCCTGTGTTCTCATGCATCAGAATGCATGAGAACGTATGATTCTGTGATTTTCCGTGTATGATTGAGTACACCTCACTCTTCACTTGGCATCTGAACCGACGACACGTTGAACTCGTTGTCGATTCCGGCCATGCCCGGCTCCTCTAAGTCTTCGGGCTTCACCTCACCCGGAAGCTGCGGCTTCAGCTCCTGCCCTGCGAGCGATCCACTCACTCGGAACTGAACATCAAAACACCCACATTCCGAGTGGCGTTTCGAGTTTTCAAGAGGAACTGCGTTCTAAGCTTTCGGCGTAGAAGGTCTGAGCTCAAAGGCGCTGCTTGAGCTATGCGGGCACAAACAAGTCCAACCAGCACCTGGACAAACCGACTTGAGTCTACCGAGTCTACCTCTGCCGGGTGCCAGGTGCGTGATCTACTTGAGGTTGGAAGGAGGTTCACGAATGCTAGCCAAAGTGTGTGTAAGGAAGCCATGAAGAAGCTGCTCGCATTTTGGCATGATTTGGCGTGTAATTATTGCAATCATGATGCATGACAAAAGATGACAAATTGTACGTTTAGATTCAGAGGTGAATATGTGGAAATAGAATTTTCCGAAGCCTGCGATACCGAAGCAGTTGGACCGGTACTTACTTGCTTTGAGTTTGGATTCTCTCTGGGCATACACACTTTTTTGTGGAATATCTATTGAAGAATCAACTCTCGGCAGTGCCTCCTCTAGGTTTTGATGACAAAGAATTGTCAACCCATCAAGCACGCACGGCCGAAACATGCTGAAACTCAGTAAGCAAACTGGGGCAAAGATGGGCAAAGTATCTTATCATTTCAGCGTTCATCAAATACTTGAAAGTTTCTCAGCCACATCCAGCTACTGGTATGCGCAAGGCTACTTTAGGTCGAAAATGGGGTCTACGCTTGCGAGACTCTGGAACTCAAACAAGCCAAGGGGGAACCGGAAGGCCATCACATTGAGGTCCAACGACCTGGTCACAGAATGTCACAGGCTCATTCGTCGCATGTCACAGCATCTCTTGCAGCCATAAGGCACTAGTTCAAGACATGTCGTGCCTGTCTTGCGCTTCTTTTTGAAACTGTGATGCCTAAAATACGCGTCTTCCAAGCTATCAGAAACTAAGGCCAGCCTCAGCACAAATCGCAAGAGCCTCGCATGCTGGAACTGCTATCGAAGGAGTCCTCATGTAATACCAAGGCACCTGCAAGGCCAAGTTGCCAATAGTTGCCATGAGGCGCAACGCGCGCCATGCTGGGTGTCGCTCGCTCAATCCCAGGGATCTGGTGCTTCATCACCCTTGGATTGCAGGAAGTCATCGAACATCTCGTCTTCAATGCTGCTGCAAGCACCTTCAGGCAACCCCATCTTTGGAGTGCGGGATTTCATCAAATCTGCCTTGGTCTCACCCCCACCAATGCTCTTCAGGAGGTATTCAGCACGTTGGGCAAACACTTCCTCGTAAGCGCTCTTTGGATCGTCCACAAAGCCATCATGAGCCCATGTTGGAAAGCGCTCTGCTGAGCACGTTGAGCCCTTCTCAATTGCTTCTGTCCAAATATTGGGGCACCACTTGTTGGTGATCTGTTCAATGAGCAAGTTCTTTGCCTTAGAACCATGTGCACCTGTCAGGATTTCAGCACAAGGGCTATCCGTGAGCCCCACCCGATGGAGGCTGGCCATCATTCCAAAGGAACAACTGGTGGACATCTCAGGCTTTGCAATCATGCTGGCCTTCAACTTGTAGGGCGAGTAGTACGATGCAGCCGCCTCGTCCAAAGACTGATCATAGTAGCAGAATTGCCCGATGTCCACCTTTCTTGGTCAAGCAAGAGCGTCGTGGTTATTAAGTTTCCAAAAAATCTAGGAACCAAATCATTAGAGCGTGAGCTACTAGCTATCCTGCGTCCAGTTACCAGAAGCTAACTAGTCGCCCTCACTATCCTTACTTAAGTAAGTAGGCCCCTACTTCGTTGAGTAGTAGGAGGGCAAAGGACAACGCGGACCAAAAAGATCTGTTAAAAAGCAGTGTTTCGTTTTTGCTTTTTCTCTCATGCAAACATTCGCGAGCTGGTGCCTTGGCCCTCCGCTCTTTCCGTCTACGACTCCTCCTTTTTCTCCTCAATTTTTTATCTACCCTTTTTGTTTTTCAGGGCTGGTTAATCCAAGTAGAGACTTGTTGCACTGCATAGACCACAAAAACCTCATATGCAGGTTGCAAGCGCCTTCTATTGAATCACACTCACAAGCTTGAGACAAAAAACCTCGCGTGGTGCCACCAAGATAATGTGTTGAAATAACGTTTACTGAGTTGCGCGGCGGTTGTGCAGTGACAATGCGCAAACATGATGCGCGATGATGCGAGATTATGTTTCTGTCCATATGCCATATGATGTGATAGATACACACAGATCAGATCAAAACGTTCTGTCCACCAAGCTTTCTCTGCAAAAACGATGTGTGAACAACCGATTTAGACTGGGATTGAAAGTCTGTCAGGCCTGACTGATCCTGAATCAGCTAAATCGATGGTCATGCTCTGAAGAAGTCGAAATACGGTTTCAACATGCTCCAACAATATCATCTGTCAAGCCTGTTTCTATGGCGTTATTGCAAAAGAGCGACACACACACACACAGTAACACTCATATAGTTTTAGATGTTTTAGTACATTTGGGCCGCAAGAAGACCAAATCCCAATGGAAGAACTGTTCACTGCACCTTGTATCGGTGCTGGTTGTAGAAGCCGGAACCCTTCCTCTTCTTCTTCAATTCAATGTACTTAGTTCCGGCATCCGCATTGCTGTCAGCCTTGTTGAAGTATCCCCTCTTGTTTTCATAGTTCCAGAGGCACCCTTTTGCCCATGGATATGTGTTCTTCTTGATGATTCTGAACCTCTTCTTGGTGAACTTCTTGACAATAGCCTTGCACTTGGTGATGCTGGTCACTGCGGCCAGCTTTTGGATGCGTCCGCTTTGTTGGCACTTCCCTGCCCGCACCCATGTCCCTGTACGAGGTCCATAGTCCACCAACTCCCCCTTGCGGGCACGAGCATAGAAGTAAGCATCCAGCTGACGCATCAACAAGCAAACATCCTTCTTGCTACAGGTGGTCACACCCGAGCTGCTTCGCAAATTCCGGAAGTACTTAGGGCTTGTCTCAGGCTCAGGGCACATCTCCTCCTTCAAGTCCGTCCCAGTACGAAAACCTTCTGCCAACGTGAACAGAACAGCCACAAGAAGCTTGGAACGCATGTCGATTTCGTAGACCTCGGTGAGGTGATATGGGAACAAACCTTTCACGGCTTTGGCTTGGGCCAAAAATACTCCAAAGGGACACCTCGTGACCCATGTGTCAAAAAGCCTGTGCCTTCACGATTTGACACCGCCAAAAGCAAATATATTTTTCCGAGGCTGATGCTTGACGTAGTCTCTCAGTGATTGTGGCCTAGACAGCAGCAGGAGGACATCATGTCCATAATGTTTGCAAACACTGCAAGCACGCACTGCATCGTACCAAAGTTTGCTCAACGGTTTTTGAGTCGGGTTAAAATTCAAAAACATGTTGCTTTCATTTCCTTTCAATATACCACCAACAAACAGTCAGTGCCGTTCAACACCACCCGAGTCCATCAATCTGCAGCAAAAGGGCTGGCTGCAATTTGCCATTTTTACTGGTGCTACTGCTGCTTGTGCCTCAGGAATTCCGACTTGCATGTTGCACAGCACGTTTCTTCGGTTTTTGGCTAATCGTTGACGTGAATTTGTTTGCGTTTCCTCGTCTCTTCCTCTAAGAGAAAAACTGTTGCCATTCAAGGGGACAAAGACCTGGAAAACCATCAAAAACGACGGACTACTGCGTTAATTACTGTACATTACCTGCTCGAATGACGCTCAAGTAAAGTGACAAGGCTACTGTTCAGCCTCGACTTGCAAACCACATGCAAGCACAATGTAGTATCATGCAGTTGCACATGCAATCTACTTTCAATAACTTGCATCCCGCCAGGTCCAGTACTTGCCTCTGGATTGGGAGTAGTGCTGCCTTTGCACGTCTTTGAACATGCAGCATTGCTGATCTTGCCAAAACCACCAAAAACTACCTTATATTAAATCATGACCAAACATGTCTTGCAGGAAATGGACATGACATGGATGTACGATAAGCAGTAAGCATGGGGCAGTGTAGTTGGTAGAAAGGACTGACTCACACACACACACACACACACTCTGACATTCTGACATTGGTTTTCAGTGACTCAGTTACCACGTTGGGAAAATGGTGAGGGAACGGCAAGGCGCATGAGTCGGCACAAACAGTATTGTTTAAAAATGTTTCCACAGGTGCAAGTCTGCAGTCGGCGGCTGGCTGCAACTCACGATCGGCTAAGAAGTGCAGTGGAAAAACCTGTTTTTGGGGAAGGTAGCATGAGGAAGGACCGTGAAAACAACGAACAGCGGCAGGGTGGACCAATGGAGTCAATGTGTTGAAAGCAGGTACGTCAGTTCCGCGTCCGGAACTGATATCAGTACCGCCACAGAAGCCTCTTCGTTGGACTGTCACTTCTGTGGGGTAGACAGTCCCCCTGCTGAAGTTGGTTGAGAACCCTTTGTCCACGGGTAAACACACACAAATCGCCGGCTTCGGCGCTTTTTCAAAGAAGGTGGCGCACACACGGCGCCGCTTCGCGGCGCGCATGTGAAAAACCTAAATAGTCACCTAAAAAGCCTTAGAAACAAAAGGAAAGAAAGACAGAAAGAGCAGCGCTAAGAGGGGAAGAAGGAAAGATAGGTGTAGGAAAAATGACTACTTAGCCCTTGACTGGGGTAGGGAAACGAGCCTCAAGAACAACCTCAAAAGCCTGAGAGAAAGCCCAAAAAACGACCGAAGGCGTAAGAAGAAAAGCGGGGGGCAGGGAAGTGTATGTACATGTGTGTGTCCGTGTGTGTGTATGAATACTTAGCCCTCTAGAATTACTGATTACTTAGCAGAAATGAATTGCGTGCAATAGCTAGGGAGCGGGACTTTAGTCTTAGACCGCCCGGGTAGGAAAGACTAGAAAAAGAACAACACAGGGAAAGGCGCCGACACACAAGTGTGTCGAGTACCATTTCCCTATGTTGCCCTAAATAGGTAGGGAGTGGAACTCAGCGGGGGGGGGGTTGGGGAACCTGCCTCATTGGGGGGTTGAACACCGCACCGTTTTATAGCCCGGCGGCTGTCGAAGTAGTCCCGTTTTTGGGCCCGGCGGCCAATGCATCAGTTGATTCTATGGATGCGTCGATGACTTCCAGTGGAAATCCAGTGGTAGGTGGCAAGTTGGGGTGGATGATTTCCTATGCAAAAGCGGCGCCCCGGTGACGGGGATCACACTCAGCACCCGAGTGGGACGGCTGAGCGAAACACACTCTGACATTGGTTTTCAGTGACTCAGTTACCACGTTGGGAAAATGGTGAGGGAACGGCAAGGCGCATGAGTCGGCACAAACAGTATTGTTTAAAAATGTTTCCACAGGTGCAAGTCTGCAGTCGGCGGCTGGCTGCAACTCACGATCGGCTAAGAAGTGCAGTGGAAAAACCTGTTTTTGGGGAAGGTAGCATGAGGAAGGACCGTGAAAACAACGAACAGCGGCAGGGTGGACCAGTGGAGTCAATGTGTTGAAAGCAGGTACGTCAGTTCCGCGTCCGGAACTGATATCAGTACCGCCACAGAAGCCTCTTCGTTGGACTGTCACTTCTGTGGACAGTCCCCCTGCTGAAGTTGGTTGAGAACCCTTTGTCCAGGGGTGGACACACACACACACTCTGACATTGGTTTTCAGTGACTCAGTTACCACGATGGGAA